TATTAAGCATAAACAGATCACGTTACTGTATATACCTTTAGAACATACTATTCTTTGTTCTCTCCACCATGAAAAATATACAAATTGTGCTTGCCAAACATAATTTATGAGTTAATGACTGTAATTTCCCATTTACTTATAACACTATCTACTGGCCATATTATAGTAGAATATTCTGTAGTAAAAACAGCAAAAAAAGTAAACTTGATAGGGTCTGTATTTGCTAGTTTTACATTTTGTTTGGATGGTATCTAGCTTTGGATTTAGAATACGTACAATCAAATGGGAACTTTGAATTCTTTATGATATGTGCTTCAAAGTTTTTATATGTTATTCCTCTCTCCTAGTAGTTTTTTTTTTTGCTATTTCTGTACTTTCAGAACCACAGTTGACTGTTTGTAAGGCAGTATTACTACAATAATTACTATACTACAATACTGTTCAGCATATACTCAGTGAAATGGTTCAAAAGCACCTGACTCTTCTCCAAGACCCAGTCTGAAGATTTGAATTAAAGGATACTTTTTTTAAAATAATTTCTTCACTGTCTAGGACCCAGAAAAATGATCACAGTTAACAGATAGTTTGAACCTGTTACTTAGCACTCAGTTAACCTTTTCCAGATTAGGTGTTTCTCCTGAGTTGATTTTGGTATAGTCTCTTACTCCTCTGAGTACAGGTCTCATGACTTCCATGACAAAATAATAGTATTCAGAATAATACTGATATACATTATATTTTAGGTGTATGGACTGAAAGGTTCCAACCTATCAGTGTCAGAGGACTAGTCCCATGAGGCTGTGTCATCTTAGTTTATTTCAACTTCTTTGCCACAGCTTTTTTTATTGGGAACATGAGAACAAAACAGATAGTTGGGCATAGGTGTGCTGTGTGATATATAAGTATTCAAAGTACTTGGCATGGCTTCTAGTAAATGATAAATGTTCAATATATTTTAGGTAAAAATGTGAGGGCCTGATGGAGATAAGATAATGTGTTAAATGCATTGAAAGTAGAAGAACAGCACACACACACACACACACACACACACACACACACACACATATCCCCACATTCAAGGACATTGATTAGCATTTTATATATATATTCAAGCAAGCAATGTGAAGGACCTGAAAACATTCTCACTAGACTTTCTTGGATAATCATTGTTGGGAAGATTCTTTGATCAGAAACAGAGACAATATTACTGCTTTATGTAGCATTGCAGAGGAACATTTAAGCTGCACGTTATACTTCAATTTTTGTGAAGTGTAGTGTTTATACTATGAAATTAGGCAAGTACCACCCCTTCCCTGGTGTGGTAAGGGACTGGGAACCAATGAGAGTTGTGACAGATAGTGGTAGATCTTTGATTAATTTTTTTCTTTCTGACTATGGGGTCTGAGAGCATAGTCTGAGAGTATATGTCTCTATGGTATTACCAGCTGCCTAGGGTCTAGATTTTATGGTTGCAATTGATGAAGTAGATAGCCACCAGTATAATCTTATTAGTTCAGCCTTCATGGTTGAGGGCTAGAGTTTGTATAACATAACAGACTGGTAACCTGATTTATCACCTTAAAAATCTCCCCAAATCCATTGATTTCAAGTTCTCTGTCTCTTTGTCTGTCTCTCTGTCTCTGTGTCTGTCTCTCTTCTCTGTTCTCTGTCTCTGTCTCTGTCTCTTTGTCTCTCTCTCTTTTCAGAAACTTTCTGGGAATACAGCATGTAGCCAGGAAGTGTGGGGAATGTTAATCCTTAACTTACATGTTAATTTAGCTAATTTCTATGAAACAAGTCATTTTGCTAAAATTAGTAAAATGTGCCACAGGGCTTTAGTACAATAGCCACGTAGCAAGAATGTTTTAGATATAGATTTACATCCAGTGGGCTGAGCTCCAAAATCCATCCTCATAACTAGAAGTACTTTAAAAAGCTGCTTCAAATAAAGAATATAGTACAGGCTGAGTGCTAAAAAAGAAAAAGGGCTTTTAATTGTTAATATGTCAACAAAGTGAAAGGAAAATGTATCTCTTTCCAACTCCTTTGTTTGTATACACATTAAAGCTGCTGTTTGAATGGGAGGGAGGTGGGAAATTGATAGATTTAGATTCAGAGATGACTCATTCAACACATTATGTTACAAAGAGTGTTGGCTTCTCAGAAACACATTTTCGAACCTCTGACTCATGTGACTTGAACCAAAGTCTTTCAGATTTAGGTAAACCCTAAGTGTTTTTTTTTTTTCCCCAAAACAAACTATCATCATCAAAATGCTTGACTATGCAGATGTTTGTATCTACATAAGGTAAATTTTCCCTGGACTTTTGTTTGTTGTATTGTAAGGAAAATATTTAAACTTTAGGACTCTTTAATTTTACTGAACATGTTGGAAAATTGTTTTAAATATTGCTTTAATGTTCTATGAATCAAAATATTTACAGAACAAGTTCTTCTAGCCAGCAGATTGTTCCATTTGCTGTGCTTGAGAGTGGAAACCTTAGGAGCCACAGTATAAGATGATGCCATAGATCCGTGTTATAAACAGCCTCATAGAGTTATCTGATGAGGTCTTTGTTTATTAAAGGTGTCAAAGACGCCTTTGCTATATTTAGGTAAAGTCTATGTTTCTGTGTTCAAGCATGTCAAATTTCAATTATTATTATTATTTTGGTGAGTAAGAAACCAGTATGACTAAATAAAAGAATTAGACTTAACTTGAAATAGTTATTAAGAGGCTGAGTTTGACAAAGAAAAGAATTTCAACTTTGATCTTGTTTTTCTCAAAGGACAAAAATACTAATATTTTTACAAATGTGTCCATTGTCTTTCATAATCTTTGAACATTTGCTGATGACATCTAGACAACTAGAAATTAGCATTTCTAATTTATCAAACAGTTGTACAAACATAAATTAATTGTAATTAACCAATACCTAACACTGTGTAGCTGGTCAGAAGAGTATGTTTTATGTCAGAAAGTGGTATTTGAAATGGAGTGAGATGGGTCAAAGGGAGAGGGGTAGACAAATGAAGTGGAGAAGAGGGGGAGAATATAGTCAAGAATCCGATGTCTATCCTATAAAATTAAGAAGAGTTGAGAGAAGTGGTGTGCAGGAAGGTATGGGTGGGAATGATAAAAGGGTGACATTGATGAAGATTTATTGTATTCATAAGTGACTTTGTTATGTGGTACCTCCTTTGTACAACTACTTAAAGATAAAAATGTTTTATTAACTGCTAATAGGTAAGTTTAAGAAACATAAACTTTAGCAAGCAAACAAATGCATACTAAAGTCAATATAAGTTAAAACTGACAAAAACAAGCATGCACCCACTGTTTGTAACAATAAAAGAAAATGGTTTGAGTTTAAGAATATTTATGTTTTCCATTGCTCATAGACTGTCACAATGAATACTGTGAAATGACCACCCTGCCAAAGATAACCTACAAACTCAATGCAATACTCACTAAAATCCCAACGTCATTCTTCCCAGAAATAGAAAAATCAATACTGAAACCCATATGAAAGCAAGAAGGCCAGCTTGATTAGCCAAAACCATTCTGAGAGAGGGAGAGAGAGAGAGAGAGAGAGAGAGAGAGAGAGAGAGAGAGAGAGAGAAAGAGCGCAGTGCTGGAGATATCAAAATACCAGACTTTAAGTTATACCACAGACTCACAGCATGATACTGGCACAAAAACAGACTCAAAGACCAGTGGAATAGATTAAAAGACCCAGGAATGAACCTGCACAGCTATAGCCATCTACTATTTGACAAAGTTCAAAATACATGTTGAAGAATCCACTGTGCTGGGAAAATTGGATGTCCATCTGCAGAAGACTAAAACTAGACCCCTAACTCTTATCCTCTGGGGAATAGAAGATTGAAGAGAGGAATGGTGGGAGAATTCAGGCATAATATTCAGTGTACTTATATGAAAATGCAACTAGGGAAATTGAGGTGGAGTTTGGAGAGACAAGGGAGAGCAAAGAAAGGGGTCACATGGACAAGATGTTTTGTACTGGTAAACTGACATGTTGAATTGAAGCCCCTTTATTTTGGGGCTTGAATTCAAGGCCTTGTAACTTTTCTCAGCCTTTTTTTTTCTCATGGTTCATGGCTAGTGGTCTAACACAGACAGTTTCTTCTTCTTTATGGTTAAGTAATATTCCTCTCTCTCTGTGTGTGTGTGTGTGTGTGTGTGTGTGTGTGTGTGTGTGTGTGTATGTGTTTTCTTGATCCATTCTTCAGTTGTAGGACATGTAGGCTGTTTCTTCTGAATCTACACTGAGACTACCTCTTCTGACAAGCTCTGTGTCTTTGGTATTTGTTATTATTGTTCATATCATTTCATTTTTCTCTCACTGGAATTGTCATAATATCTTACTGCTTTCCAGCTTTAAGTCATTCCAGGTATAATGAATTCTATCTTTGGAACAGTAATGTGTAGCATCCTTTCCTAATCCAAACAACTCTGAGTACCAATCTTTCTCTTTTAGTCCTTTTTTAATACACTCTACAATAAATTCTTTGTATAATATAAACCAGAGTATTTGCTAGTTACTGAATATTTTCTATATCATCTACATTTTTCTTTTCTGAAGCACTTTCCTACATTCTTTTTTAATAAGTCTTTTATTGTGAAAATACTGTACAGAGGGGTTATAATCACATGAGCAAGGTAACAAGTACATTTCTTATCAAGCATTGTTGCCTCCTCCTTTGTTTTTCCCCTACCATCCCTTCCCTCCCATCTCCACAACTAAATTCCGCCCCCCCCAACCCCACCTGAATTGTAAAGTTCCCTACATTCTTGTTTACTAAAAGAAATTACATTCACTTGTAGCCTGATAAACTCAAAAGCCAGGGCTTATTTTTATATGTGATCCTAGGTTTTATATGTCTTGTATCAATTATATGCTCTTTTGTAACTAAGTTGTTTCATGCTCATATTTGGTCTTTCTAAAGTGTAAAATTTTCCCTGTCTTTCCTCCAAGGATGTTAAAATTGAATCTCGAGAACCGGGTCAGGCTGGCAGAGATATTCAGCAGAGCAACTTAGAGCAATGCTACAATTTTGTTAGTATGAATGTAAGTAACAAATGCAAATGGTTCAAAGCATTTGAAAGTCTGAGCAAATCTAATACCAAAGATAATTGATTTCTGTTGACTTGTATTTATTTTCTTAGAAGATGTTACAAGATCAGTTATGTCATGTAACATGTATTTGGAAATCGTGTGCTTTATCTCTTAGGAATAGGAAAGTTATGTTTTCTAAGTCTCTTCCCCATAATGAGAAACAATAGTGTTCCTTTATACAATATTTTCAATATTTTCAAATATCTGTTTTCTAGGTGTAAAGTCAATAATAACCTATAAATATGATCTAATAAATCATTCAAAAATTTTAATACATTTAGCTATGAGTAGCCTTTAAAGTTGCTTAATCTTGAGAAAGCATTAATCTTGATAAGCATTTTGAATATTATGCCAGATCTATTCTCCCTTTGAGTTAACTTTTGGGTCTTGTAAAAATTTCTTTAACTTCCTCTTATTTTCTTGATTTTTTTTTTAAGATTATGATGTCTGATTTTCAAGAGACCCGGAAACTCCTGCACATGCTTGAAGAGAGCAACCTTTCCATCTTGTACCCTGTAGTTGTTGTTTCAGTAAGTGAGAGAATGCTAGTTTTCTTCTTTTAACTTGGTGCCTTCTCCCTCATGCCTCTTTATGTCTGACAAAATTTTATCCAATTGTAAATATCAATTCAAAGACAGAATCAGGAACTTTTCCCTGTCAAGTTCAGTTCCTCATTGTGACTTCTGCGGGCACCCCGACTTCATTATGCAGTCTTTTGGTAGAACTGATTCGTTTAGGAAAAAAAAATTATCTTAGCAACCAATTTCATGTCTTTATCCTCATTAAAATTGCAAATTTTATGACTGAATTGACTAGTTGTTTAGATAATATGAAGTGCTTTTTAAAAGCATATTACCATAATGTCATATGACAAGACATCCAAAAGTTAAAAAATGAGAAGGAAATCTAATAGTAGAAAAATGTAGTTAATTTAATTTTATTGTCAAGGTGATGTATAGATGGGTTACAGTTACATATATAAGGTAATGAGTACATTTCTTGCTGAACATTGTTACCCCCTCCCTCGTTTTTCTTCCATTTTCTGTCTCCCCCAACTCTCTGCCCTGCAAGCTAATTTCATTTCCAACATATTGTCTTGTGAGAATATATTGTTGAATTCTTTTCCATAGACCGCATATATAGAACAAATGAAAGGGAATTCCTAGAAGACTGGCCTATAACATCTTTGGAGATTTTTTTTTCTGTACATTATTAAGAGTATGCCTATTATTTAGTGCAGAATTTTACTTGATTACTTGTGTAGCACAGGTGATGTATCAAGAAAATAATCAAGGAGGGACAGGTACAGAAGCCACACCACGGAAACTGGCCGAGAAGCAGAGCCTGTAGTATGTAGTGTTTTGCTGTGGGAAAGGGTTCCAAACATTCTCGAAAGTGCTAGCAGTTTCCCAGTTCCTGAAGTGGGGAATTCAGTTGTTGATAGGTAAGATAATTAATATGGAATAAAGATAATAATTTGCACAACATTTTCTTATGTGAACAATGCAAGTAAAACACATTAGCAACTGGGGAAAATAGAATTATTTCACTGGCCAGTTACATTTGGATCTATGCCCTGAAATGGACTGTAGAAGTGCAGGTGGTTATAGAAATCCAAGGCCTACATGTGACTGATTTATCGCTGAGAGCTTGTCAGTGAACTATACTATGAATTTTTATTATTATCTTTAAGTAGTTGTACAAAGGAATTGCCATATAACAAAGAAATTTATGAATACAATATCGTGATGCATGTTTTCTCTTTCAACATTCTCACACATTTCTCCTCTATCCACCCCTTCCCTCACTCTGCTTAATTTTGTAGGATAAGCATTTGATTCTTGAATGCATTCTTCCCTTTTTTTCTCCTCTTCATTTGTTTATCCCTTAACCCTTGACCCCATCCCACCTCTTTCAAGTACCCACTCCCTGGTATTTCATTTTGCTGAACTTTGTTTTTGTCTTTCTAAGCAATTACATGATTGGAGTTCTCCCTTGAACTTACTGTATTTCAGTTAATACATTTTAAAGGAGATTAATGGGATAAAACCATTTCTGGGAGGATCTGTGGGAGGTAGACAGGTAGTCCTATGTCTCTGTTCCCTTCTTTACCTTTTCTTAGGAATCTAGTTCACCTCACTTTCTCTAGTATGATCCTGTAGAGGTTATAGAGTACAGGGAAAAGGACAAGGGATTTAAATCAGACTACATTGTTGTTTTTTTTTTTATCAAGCTGCTTAAGTTTTAAGGCTCAATTTTCTTGAGCTTTATTACTCATTAGTAGAGGTTAATGACACTTCTTTTCAAACTGTTGAATGCCTAAAAGTAATGGATGCCAAGTGTAGTTTACAGCAGAGTGCAGGGTCTTGAGCAAGGCTGCAATGATAAATAGGCTAGCTCCTCTTCTTTCTGCCTGGAAGACATGACTCAAGTTTACTTCCACTATCCCAGTCTTATTCCCAAGCCTCCAATTTTCTATGCAGTATTTCCAATGGAACACTTCTCCAATTCAGCATATTAGATCTGTTCCCAAAGCATATTATCTTTATGTTTGAATTTTGCCCCGCTTTCCTTTCCTGCTTCTCAACACACACACACACACACACACACACACACACACACACACACACACACACACACACACATTTAGTTTATAAGCATCAGTTCTTCTGCTTATTGTTACAGGTGTATCTCAAGCCTTTGCTTCCATAAATACATGAACTTACCCTTCTGTTAACTTTTGTTGAATTCTGTTTCATGGATCTCAGTAAATGCGGAGTTATTTGGGTCCTTGGCATTCTGTGTTAAATTAAAGGAAAGGCAGCCTTTTAGTTAAAGTGAAAATAGCTCTGTCAAAACTAGTTTGAGAATAATGGTATAGCTTATACAATATAAACACTGAAGTGATGATGTTAAATTGTATGAATATGATTGGTATTTGTACGCTCATTATTTTGCCATTGTACAGAAAGATTCAATGTGGTAATAATATTGTTTATTATTAAGCTTTATCAGAAATATGTCATTAGAACATATATAAAATATGTGTTCTCAGAATTGAACAAATCACTGGGAAGTATACAATAAAGAATTTTGGCCAGGAGATTGTGGCTCATGCCTCTAATCCTAGCTACCCCAGGTAGCCTATAACTCAGGATCCTGGTTAGAAGCCAGCAGAAAAATCTTTGCAGCACTCATTTAAAAAAAATTAACCATCCAAATCATGGGAGTGGAAATGTGACTCAAGTAGTAGAGTACCAACCTTGACTGAAAAAGTCAAGCAAGGCTGTGGCCCAGAGTTCAGTAACCAGGATCAGCAGAAAAACAAACAAACAAAAAATGTTGGCTCCTTGCATAGAGAGGCAAGTGCAACAGCCCGTGGCTGTTGAATTGGTTGAGAGTGATTATGAATGAGACTGAACAGGTCTCGTCATCTTGGCTTCTGATCTGGCTTTTTACCAAAGATGGTAAGAAGGCCATTTTAATTTTTCTGTGGATGAAAATTGTCATAATTATCTGGTTATTCTTCAAATTCCTAGATGTATAGAGACATACAATAAAATGAATTTAAGTGCATATACATTTCAGTTTTCTTTTTTGTAAGAAAAAATATATACATATATACACATAGATCTTGCATGTATAAGTATGAATATACATTCATTATCTATCTATCTATCTATCTGTCTGTCTGTCTGTCTATCTATCTATCTATCTATCTATCTATCTATCTATCTATCTATCTATGTTATGAGTATCAAGCAGCTCAGATGTTCCACGTCTATCAGAATTACCTTTGCTAAAAGAGTAAACCAAAGATCTTTATTATTGTTGTTGTTTTTTGCTTTTGCCTGTACTGGTATTTGAACTCAGGGCTTAATGCGTTCTCAGCTTGCTTGCTAGGCTGTTGCTCTACCACTTGAGCCATGCATCCAGACAAGTTTTTGCTGTTCCTTTTCTTCCTTCAATTTTATTTTGTTTTCATTTAAACATTTATTTAAAAGTAGGTGTACAAATAGGTCTCAATTCCATGAAATAGATTCTCTTTGATTTTTCTGCCCAGACTGACTTTGAACCAAGATCTTAAAGAATTTAGCTTCCTAAATAGCTAGAATACAATCATGAGCCACCTATACCCAGCTTTTGATTTTTTTTTAAATGGCTTATGTTAAATCCATGTTAAATTCTGAAAAAGTCAGAGGAATCACATCATTTCTTCGTGAGAAATAGATTTCAAAATTATATATCAAATAATAGAAAATTATGTCTTTTTCAAACTTTGGTGTTTTTTGATTCAATAGATATTGAATGCACATATTGTAAATGTTTAAAGGCATATTTACTCTTGGGTGATAAGTAGTTAAGAGCTTTTAAATTTTAATTTCCTTCTCTATGAAAAGAGAGGAGACAAAAGTAGGAATTTGTTAGAGGCAAAGTGATATTTGTTATTGGACATTTGTGAAATTTTCAACTAGATGTACTGTCAACCTAGATAAGGTTATCTTGTACTGTGTCATCCTGTTTTATCTACAAAATTTAAAAGTGAGGTGAAGTGGTTAATTTAGCTGGAACATATGACACAAAAATAATGTTGACTTATATCTTAAGTGATAAAAATTGGTGTTTTGATGTGCTACAAGTGACCATTTTTCAAAAATATTTTTAGGACTTTAGTTCTGTGATGCTCCTTTGTTAACCCCTGATACACAATATTCTTTTGAACCATCTATTAAATCATCATTTTTATTTTATTTTCATTTGTTTTAAAAAGGCTAATTTGCTAAGTCCTTGTGTTGACGGTATTTCTAATGATTAAAAATATGCTAATATTGTTTTGTTGGCCACATAAATTTTGTTTTGGGAGATTGAACACAGTTCAATATAATTACAATGAATGAATTAGGATCCTACAAATTCCTATGGTGAGCTATATATTGTGTCAATGTGGAAAGAGATAGTTACATGGGTGATCTCATAATGTTCTATTTCTTAATGCTTGTGTGTATTACCTTGACATGTTTTTTGTTCTATGTAATCTTTTAGATTGGTGATTTAGGAAATATATGTACTCAGGTAACAAGCATACTTTATACTAGGATAATTTTCTATTTGGAAACAGAGTACTCTCTTTTTAAAAAATTGAGACCTGTTGGCATAAAGTCAGTTTAAAAATCACATCACTTAATGTGTTCGATAGGAATTTTTTTTTTCTTTTTGAGGACATTAGAGTTTGAACTCAGAGGTATGGAACATGCTAAAGTAGGTACTGTATTACTGAAGCCAGGCCCAAACCATCTTTATTTTGCTTTTATTTTCTCACACTTTTTTTTGAGTGCTGGCCTCAGGCCATGATCCTCTACTTAAACCACTTGAATAGCTTGGAGATATAGGAGTTAACCACCATGCTCTGCTTGTTCTTTGAGATGGGTCTAGATCAGAATGTTCTTTTTAAAATATTATAGTACTTGAACATGTCAAAATCCTTCTGCCCTCCAAAAAAGCAAAAAAAAAAAAACATTTAGGCAAAACC